AATGAAAAGGGATACTCAAATTAAGAGTAGAACCCCGTATATATATCCAAAAATAATACAGAGTGACTTAAACATCCTTGTAGTTTAGGCAAAATATAAAAATCATAGTAAGGGTAAAAAAGGGAAAAGAAATCCTAATAAACCTAGACTATCTATACTCCAACACTCCCCCTCAAGCTAGGCGCAAAAATGTCAACTAAGCCAAGCTTGACAACGGAGTCCCGAAGAATAGACAGAGTGACAGGTTTGGTAAAAACATCCGCAACTTGATCACTGGTCCCCACAAAAGATGGAGTAACAAGACCACTGCTGACCTTCTCCCGAAGAAAGTGAACATCGATCTCTATATGCTTCGTTCTCTCATGTAGTACAGAGTCAGAAGCGAGCTGAATAGCAGATTGATTATCACAATATAATGTGGATGGAGAGGTCACTGAAAAACCCAACTCGTCAAGAATCGATCGTAGCCAGATAATCTCACATGTGCCAAGTGCCAATGCCCGATACTCTGCCTCTGCGGACGAGCGGGAGACAACTGCCTGCTTCTTGCTCTTCCAAGAGATAAGATGAGTCCCTCGAAAAGCACAGAAACCCGTAGTAGATCGACCATCACATGCTCCCCCATAATCTGAATCTGAATAACAGGCTAGAGAACCGGTCTGAGATCCTGATGCATAAAACAACCCAAGTCCAGGACAAGACTTGAGGTACCGAAGAATATGATAAACTGCATCAAGATGAGGCTGACATGGCCTATGCATGAACTGACTAACTCGGCTGACTGCGAATGAAATGTCCGGCCTAGTATTGGCTAAGTAGATAAGTCTACCTACCAATCTTTGATAAACTGTCGGATCTTTCAACTCCTCACCTTCAGCAGTAAGCTTCAGGTTTGGAATCATAGGTGATAATGCCGGTTTGCACCCCAACATCCCAGTATCTGAAAGAAGATCCAAAACATACTTTCTCTGAGAAAGAACAATACCTCTGCTTCTACGGGCAACCTCAATCCCAAGAAAGTATCGCAGAAATCCAAGATCCTTCACATCAAAGGCCTTCCCAAGGTCTATCTTGACCTGCGCAGTCCCAGAAACATCATCACCAGTAATAATAATATCATCAACATATACCAGAAGGATGACACACTGTCCAGAAGTATTCCGTCGAATAAAGCAGGTATGATCAGAATGACACCTGGTGAACCCCAATCGTATGACTACATCACTGAAGCGAGAGAACCAGGCTCGTGGCGACTGTTTCAGTCCATAAAGAGACTTACGCAGTCGACATACCTTTCCAGCATACTCCCCCTCACCACGAAAGCCCGGTGGTGCATCCATATAAATAATCTCGTCCAGATCACAGTGAAGAAACGCATTCTTCACATCTAATTGATGAAGAGGCCAAGAGTACTCCGCAGCCAGAGAAATAATTAACCGAACAGTAGTCAATTTTGCCACAGGGGCAAATGTAGCACCAAAATCACGACCTGGTACCTGAGTAAAGCCCTTCGCCACAAGTCTAGCCTTGTAACGATCAATAGTACCATCCGCAAGAAACTTCAGGGTGTAAACCCAGCGACAGCCAACAGGTTTCACCCCTGAAGGTAAGGAGACAAGATCCCATGTATGATTACGCTGAAGAGCGTCCATCTCTGTCTGCATGGCAAGAATCCACTGGGGCTCCCGCATAGCTTCCGAAATAGAGCGAGGAACCAGCGTATCTGATAAGGCCATAGTATAAGCTCAAAATGTGGGAGACAGATTACCATAAGAAACATAAGCAGAGATCGGATATAAAATCTTGGCGGTCCAACCATATCGATCAACTGGACGGCGATCACGCCTTGGATAACGACGCCCTAAATCACCATCCTCTACTGATAATATCTTATCAGGTAAAGTAACTGGCTCAGCACCTGTAATCTCATCAGTACTAACAACAGGTGCATCAATATACTCAACAAACTGAGAAGTATTACCTGCATCGCCTGAGGTAGAGGGGATATCAGCAGGGTGATGAGAGCGAGGACAACGAGCATACACCTGCAAAGGAAGAGAGACTGGTAACTCTGTACTGACAGGGATGAGTGACTCCTTTGGAGGAAAAACGGATGACCCTGTAGGGATAGTGATCAATGACTCTGACTCTTGTGGTAATGAAAAATCAAAGGGAGTATCATCAACTGGAGGGGCAGACAAAGGACTGAAAGGAAAATAAGGAATATGCTCAAGAAAGGTAACATCTAGACTGTGATACATACGACGCCTAATAGGATCATAACATCGATACCCCTTAGATTGATGACAATAGCCCACAAAGATACAACGAATCGCTTTATCGTCAAGTTTATGACGAGTAGGAGACCGATCCTGAACAAAACATGTGCATCCAAAAACACGAGGGGGGACCGGAAAAAGTGTCCGCTTAGGAAATAAGACCTGTAAGGGAGCCTTATGCTGAAGAACACGACTCGGCGTACGATTGCACAGAAAGGTAGAAGTCAAAACAACAAAATGCCAATAAGATTTTGATACCCTCATGCCTCTAAGCAGACAACGTACCATCCCTATCAAACTCCTATTTTTCCTCTCAGCAACACCATTTTGCTCAGGAGTATATGGACAAGTGAGTTGCTAAAGGATACCCTGAGAAGAAAGGTGAGACACTAAAGCATCAGACACATATTCTTTGGCATTATCCGAACGAAGAGCACGAACAATGACATCGAATTGTGTCTTAATCATCTGTAAAAACTGAGTGATTATAGGGAGCACATCAGACTTCCTATGCAAAAGGTAGACCCAAGTACAACGGGTATGATCATCTATAAATGTCACATAATATCTGGCACCTGACAGAGCAGTAACGGGAGAGGGTCCCCAAATATCAGAGTGTATTAGGTCAAATGGCTTGGGTGACTGGTGCATGCGAGGAATATAATTGGCCCTAACATGTTTTGATAGGGAACTAGAAAATGCAATCAAGTTTACCACCAACACAAGCATTACTCAAAGCAGGAAACAACATACATAAATATTTAAAATTTGTATGTCCAAAACGGTCATGCCACAATTGAACAGTTTGTGACGAAAAATCATAACGACAACTACTAGGTAAAATACTAGCATACAAGCTAGGAACAGAAAAAGACAAAGCAGGTGCAGGTGAAGGAATTGGTGAAACTGGAGATGGATTGCCAAGATAATACAGTCCATCTTTCTCATGTCCCTTGATAATAATCCTCCTGGTACTCAGGTCCTGCAAATAACACGAATCAGATAAGAATACAACCGCACAGTGAAAATCTCTGGCTAACTGATGTACAGATAATAGATTCATGACCAACTTTGGCGCATGAAAAACCGAATGTAATGTAAGGCCATCTGGGAGACGGACTGTACCCCTACTAACAATAGGGGCCTGTGTTCCATCTGCTAACTGAACCTGTGTATGTAATGGCTCGTCAAAAGTGGTGAAGTGATGGGCCTCAGCTGTCATGTGACCATTCGCACACGAGTCCAACATCCAAAGGGGAGATGAACTGGCACAAGCGTGAAAGGCATGAGATATACCTGTAGTGGTGACAACAGCAGTAGTCAGACTCTGAGAAGTCAGAGCAGACATAAGTATATCTAATCGGGAAGTGATAGCATCCAAATCACTTTGCCAAGGAGGAGCAGTAGCAGGAGTGGCGGTAGTGGGCGGTGGTACCTCAGCAATAGCAACAGTACGGCTGCGACAAGGTAGCTTAAGCTCTGGATGGAGCTTCCAGCAAGTAGCCCTGAGATGTCCTGGTCGGCCACAATAATCACATTGACGGGAATCCCCCCGTCTGTGCTGATCTGGGGCGCCCTGACGGCGCTGGTCTGAGCGTTGCCTATCCCTGACTAAGGATCCTGAATGGGACCCTACAGCAGCTGCAAGGGCCATCTGGTCAGTCGAAGGAGGCAAAGCTGCAACTGGAAGTGATGCAATACGGACTCGACGCTCATGCTGCTCAATCATCCCATACATCTCATAAAGAGAAGGAAGTGTCAACATCGACAAGATCTGAGAACGAGGTCCCTCAAACTCATCACGAAGCCCCATAAGGAACTTGTGAATCCTATCCTCCTGCTCTCGAGTATGCGAGAATGCTGCTCCCTCGGGCTCTATCTTCGGAATAGCAGCAAGAGGACGTAGAGACTCATACTCAAGCCAGCGCTGGGTCAAATAGCCATAATAATCCTGAACGGTCATATCTCCCTGCCGAGCATATGAGAGCTCCTGAGAAAGCTCATAAACACGAACTCCCCGTCCTGACTGAGAATACATCTCTGATAATGCGCTCCATAGCTTCGGAACAGAGCTATGAAACTGGTGGATCCTGCAAACAGAGGGCTCCATTGAGCCAAATAACCATCCAAGAATGACACAGTTTTCAGAGAACCATGCAGAATATCCAGGGTCGGCATCAGCTGGCTTTGGGTGAGATCCCGTCAGCCAACCAAGCTTCCCTACACGGCCTAAGAAAAGCTGGAATGAGCGTGACCACTCAGCGAAGTTACGACCATTCAACAATTGTGCCGTAACTTTTTGAGAGATCATGCCACCGTTATTGCATTAGCTCCAAAGTGTCTTAATCTGTTTTCCATGAATGATTTTAGGCCCATATCTTGCTGTAACACAATGTATAAGGCTATATCCAAGCTTTCTGCATCCAGACTCAAATGTGTCCTACCTAAACTCATAAACAAGAATCAGGTTGCTTTTATTTCAAGTATAAGATTAAGTGATAACATCTTTTTTTCTCAAGAATTATTGAGAGACTATCATAGGAACATTGGATCTCCAGAATGTGCGGTCAAAGTGAAAAAGGCCTTTGACTACGTAAATTAGCAGTGTTCAATGGATGTTATGGAAGCATTCTATTTCCCTCCTACCTTTGGAAGATGGTTTGGCAATGTATCTCTACCCCAATTTTTTCTGTTAATATTAACGATGAGCTTGCGGGTTTCTTCCAAAGCTCTAA